AAGACATAAATATTTATTTTTATCTTTTGTGATAAACCTTTTTATTTAGGATTTTTAGTTTTATTAATTTATTTAGGAATTAGTTATTTTATTAGAACTCTTGGTAGAATTTTTAGTTTGATTAGGAATTAATCATTTTATTTACTTAGAACTTTTGGGTTATAAATACCCTTAGGTTCAACCTTTGAACTCAGATTGTAATTTATATTCCCTTGACTATTTATTGAAGTTCTAATTTTCTTTCATTATTTTCTTTTCACAACGCTAAGCATGATCCAATCATGCTTGACTAAATCTCTTTTATTCGATAGCTGAGTAGCGACTCAATCTGTTTCGTGAGAATTGAAAACCGCTTCATACCTTCAAGTATCTTTCTTGATTTTCGGCAAACAAGGTTAGGTAATCGACTTAATCTTTAAATTCTTTACACTTTCAATTCAAATATTGCACTTTGGCTTGAATGTTGTTTCGATTTACCGTTGGGTAGGAGAATCGGCTTGTAGCAAATTCAAATCCCTAAGAACAAACTTAGCGGCGATTTGCTAAAATAAATCAAGATCGTGTCTGATTTTCATTGAGACGCATAATCCGATCATGGGCTTTTTTAGCATTAAAGAAGTTATTGACGTTAACATCGATAGTCGAAGTTAAATCCAAACAAGGATTAATTTTCAGGAATTGACTTTGGGTATTAATTTACAAGGGTTGGGCATTGTACACTGTAACCGACAAGATTTCAAAGAAAAATATATTTCAATGATCGAGACGAGTCTAATCAAAACGAAGCTAGAGCTATCTCCTATCATTATCTCTTTCAATTATTTATTTTTATTTCTTTATTATTTTTATTTAATTTTAGTTTATTCAATTAAATTCGACAAACCCTCCTTTTTATTTTTATTTTTGTTCAGATTTTCTGGTTAGAGATCAAATCAGATTTAATTATAAATTCCTTAGTCCCAGTAGATCGATCCTATTTTTCTATATTATTCTATTTGTTTTATTTTATTTATTCAAATTGAGAATTAAATTTATTTATTTGACAATTACGACACTTTTCATCCTTCTAATTAGAAGGTAATTAAAACATACTTTCGAACTTGAAGTGGTGACTCTTTGATTGGATTGTACACAAGACTCTATGTTTCATCAATTATGCTTATCGAGTCCCATTAATTTACTAGGTAAAAAATAAAGAACCGAGTTTTGAGTACCTGAATATTATAGCTCGGACCTGACTCATAAACCTATAATATTTAGTAAGTCGGGTATTCAACCTGCGAACTTTATTTTGTCTAGAATTTTTTTTTATCAAATTGAAAGATACATACATACCTTATATCATCGTATAGTATTTCAAGCATTATCTATAACATCTCAGCATGAAAGGAGAGTTAGTCTCATGTTCTTAAAACACATTAATTACATTTGAACCCATTAAGTGATCTTAACGGTAAAAGATAATTTTATTCTCCCTATAGGTATTGAGTTCGAACAACTACGTCTGCAGGGTGTGTGCATTGTCAATTAGTTAAAAAAAATTCTAAACAAATATTATTTTTACAATCACGTCAGACTATTAAAAAAAATACATAAATTACATTAATTTTTAATCCAAACAACTTAAAATATATAATTTCACCTTCGAAAACTTTAATCTTTTTAAATTTCACTTCTCTCAAAGTTATACCTCCTGTTTTGGAGAAAAATAAAGGTACAAAATTTGTCAAGAAGAAACTTCATAAATCGTAAGAATTTATTCGGGAATTATAATGAGATGAAGAAACTCTCATCCTTACTCCTTCAACCAAAACCCTAACTAAATTATCTTTCAACAATTAGCCTTGTTCATCAAATGAACAATTGGGTTAACTAGAATTTAGGTTATAATTGGAATTCCCTTCTTCAATATACCAAATTGCCCTCAAGTTTCAATTCTTTCTCTTGCCTTTCTTACCACAAGAAAAGTGGGAAAGTGGAAAGTGGCTGTCCCTTTTTCCTATATGTATGGGATAAGGGAGAGGTAAGATAGTAGGCTACCCCCAACACTAGGTTGAGAGCAGCTTCCGTAAGAGACCTCCACAAGAAAAAGAACAATAAATGATAAAATTATATTCCCTTCTTTTCTTTATTCTTAAATTCTTGGTGTCATGAGAATATATGCCTGCACTACACTAATCAAAATCCACTTAAATAGAAATTCGGTGTAAAAGTACGCAAAAGTATTTAAACGTTTATTGTTAGGTGATTAAAAGTCTTTAGAACATATATTATTTTATAATGATCTCGTACTAATAAAAGAAAAATATCATGATCAATTTTAAATAATATGTTAAAGAAGAATGGATGTAATACAATTTTTCTTTTTATGTCAGTTTTGAACCATTTTTTTAATCACGATTTTGAGGAACAATTCCTGTACGATTGTTTTACGATTATAGGCAAATAATTAATTCTTAAAATAATATTATTTCTCAAAATTTGATTATTATTATAATCCAATTCTTCAGTGTATAATGAAAATTTTAACTATGGATATAATCAAAATTAAGTATCGGGGTTGTAGATGAATTGAGCTTGAACGGATAATGTTATGTTTATGTTCGCTTGTTTATTTTTAGAGGTGTTCATATTTGGTTTGTGTTCGTTTAAACTTTTAATATCGTGTTCGTTTATTTATTTTTGAATGTGTTTGTGTTAATTTATTTATTGTTCACTAACATGTTCGTTTATATGTTCATGAATATGTTCATTTAACGTTTGTTTATGTGATAAGTTTTTAGTTTGACTATGTCAAGCTAAAAAAATGATAAAATCACACCGCTAGTGTTTAAACTCCTTAAAATCCACAATTTAAATTTCAACTTTTACCATGTCTTCAATTTAGTCCCTACATTCAATATTTAAAATGTACAAAAGAAAACCGGATAAACAAGCTTGTCTATGAACATAAATGAACGAGTCGATAAACGTTCTTATAGATGAGCTTATAAACAAGTTTATTCGTGAACAAAAATGAATCAAAAATACCTATGTTTGTGTTGGTTCATTTATTAAATGAACATAAATATTTTTGATCATACTCACTTATTTAGCTTAACAAACGAACATAAACGAACGTTATATGAATAATTCACCGAACACTATGTTCATTTACAACCCCATTAAATAGTGATGAGTCAATCATAAATTTTTATCACGTTTAAAGTCAAAACAACAAAAGTTTTTTTAAATAGAAAATGTATGAAAATTCGGAAGCTGAATTTGTTTAAAATAGTTATTTTATTTTTAAAGTTAATATCATTTTAAAACTATTTTAAAAATCAGTCTTATTCCATCTATTTTGGATTTTTTTTCAGTTCAAACATGAAAAACCATCAAATTACTGTTATATTATAACAATGAAAAAAATATTAATTGACTCTTAAGTTATATTACTGTTATTGGAAAATTTTAGAATGGAAGTTGCACACCAAAACACAACACGAATGCAACACACTTACATAAACCATTAATTAAATTGTCTTTATTAAATAAATAAAAAATATAATGATATATCCACAATTAATCATTTATTGCTGTTTAGTTTAAATTTCAATAGGAACATAATTAAATTATATTTTTTTTATTAAAATTTATAATTATTTTAGAAATTTTTATTTGTTTAGAATTAAAACATTTAATTTTTTAAGTTTACAAAATCATCCCAACAATAACCACTAAAACCATCCAACGACGACCCTATTCATCGTCGGAAAATCATGTTTTTCAACGTACAATCGTGACAACGACTCATGGCATGGACAAATTCTTTTGATTTCAACAAGGATATTTTAAACGGATTTACAACATTTGATATAAACATATATTTTATCATATCGATGAAATCAAAACATAAACAATATTGTTTAACTTTATTTTTTCTTCTTCCAACTATTGGTATTAGAGTTGAAGATTTTCATAGACTAATTAACCTCAAGGGTGTTGATAAAAAATATAATTTAATTATATTCCTATTGAAATTTAAACTAAACAACAATATAATTAAGTGTTGGGATGTTTTTTTTTGGATAAAAATTGTTGGGATGATTTCATAAACTTAAATAATTAAGTGTTCCAGTCTTAAATAAATAAAAATTCTTAAAATAATTAGAATTTTAATAAAAAATATAATTTAATTATATTCCTATTAAAATTTAAACTAAATCATAACAAATTATTAATTGTGGATAAATCATTATATTTTTTATATTTATTTAATAGGGATAAATCATAACAAATTATTAAAATAATTATTAGTTGAGTTAGTGGTGTATATCGGTGTATCACATTAATGGTGTGTTTTGTTATCATAATATCTAATACTTTATAAATTTGAATATATTTAATTTTTTAAATTATTATTTAATATATTAACGATAGAGTTAAATAATTTAAAAATAGAAAACTTATCATTAAATCAAATTAATTTATTAACAATTAATTGATTTAGTGAGACTTGTTAAATTTCTTAATAAATAACGTATAAATTTAAATTATAATATTATAGATGAAAAAAATTAAATTAAGATAGATCTTATAATATAATTATAAGATTCTTAATCCAAATTAATCGAGGAATTAATTGAATAAGAGTAATTGAACATAAAAGATGAATCAAATAATGACTTATCAACTGATGGTGCGGATAATGGAGTAATCTGCATTATGGATTTTGGATATAATGAAAATTTTGTCATAATTTTTTTCTGTGAAATATATGTGAATACTGTAAGAGGATCTTAGAACGTGTGTGGATGGAGTGGAAAGACACTCGTCCAGGAACTCATTCCCACCACTCATTTCCAAAAGCAAAAACTGAATGAATCACCTTCCTCCAGTCTTCTTCCTCCACCACCTACTCTCTTTTCTCTTCCAACCTCCATGGTTCCCAATAATTCCCCAGACTAATTCTCTTCTCTTTCAACGTCTGACTATCTTTCATTGTTCCATTCAGAGACATGACTCTTTTTTCTTGTTTAGCTTCTGCAATAAACACCACTTCCCCTCAAGTATTTCTTCTCAGGAATCCTCATCTACATTCTCCCAAACACCATTACCACGAAACTAAACTACCCAGGAAAGAGAATCTTGTGTTCAGGCCTTTCCAAGTTCAAACCAGGCCTTATCTTCCGTTCTCGAGCTTGAATAACTCCAGACTCAATCACCCTTTTGCCAACATATCTTCTTTTGCCGATGCGGGAGGTGAGAAAGAGCAAGAAGATGAAGCAACCCATGCTAAAGCAAGTGACGATTACTCGCCTGGAATGGCTCAAGCTTTCAACATATCTTCCAGTACTGCTTCTGCTATTGCTTTATTCATAGCGTTTGCAGCTCTGAGTCTTCCGTTCTTCATGAAGTCTTTAGGTCAAGGAGTTGGCTTGAAGAACAAGTTTTTGTCTTACGCGACGCTTTTGTTTGGGTATTACATGGCCTGGAATATCGGAGCCAATGATGTGGCGAATGCAATGGGAACTTCGGTGGGATCAGGTGCATTGACACTGCGTCAGGCTGTTTTGATGGCGGCCATTTTGGAGTTCTCTGGAGCATTGATGATGGGAACTCATGTGACCAGTACTATGCAGAAAGGGATCCTTGTTGCTAATGTGTTTCAGGGCAAGGATACTCTGCTTTTTGCTGGATTGCTGTCTTCTCTCGCTGCTGCTGGTACTTGGCTGCAGGTACTTAACTCTATCCTTGCTTTCAACTTTATCTGCTTTGAAATCTTAGTTTTCATATATTAAAGGTTTGTCAAATAAGTAATTTCATGTATTCGAAATCTTTATTATCTCTATGTATGTGATATACTTCATATTGATCTCGTTTTGATTACTTAATACGCAAGCATTTCAGCTTTATCACTATGCATGTAAATCATGATGCATTGCTCAGGTTGCATCATATTACGGTTGGCCGGTTTCGACCACACACTGTATAGTAGGATCAATGGTTGGATTCGGCCTGGTTTATGGGGGACCTGGCGCTGTTTTCTGGATGTCTCTGGCAAGGGTTATTTCGTCGTGGGTTATCTCACCTGTAATGGGAGCATTGATGTCATTCCTAGTCTACAAATGCATCCGCAGAGTATGTTCTTTCTCTTTGGAATATTAACCTATTGCTCCGCTTTATTCAGTTGTCCTTACGACATGTTTCCTGTAGTTTGTTTACAGTGCTCGTAATCCGGGACAAGCAGCGGCTGCAGCGGCACCGATTGCTATTTTTCTCGGGGTAACCGGGATTTCTTTTGCAGCCTTTCCGTTAAGTAAGAGCTTTCCGGTAGCTCTTGGTCAAGCTTTGGGATGTGGAGCAGTTGGGGCATTCATAGTTTACTATATTATCAGAAAGCAGCTCGGTCATCTCCTTGCCAAAGCCACTTCTTCGACACGGTCAGAGCCGCAAGAAAGTACAACTACTCAGACTAAAAATCTCGGTCTTCTCTCGGACATCGCAGGGCCTAAAGGCACCCAGCTGGAAATAGTTTATGGGGTCTTCGGGTATATGCAGGTATTGTCAGCTTGTTTCATGTCATTCGCCCATGGAGGAAACGATGTTTCGAATGCGATAGGGCCTCTAGCTTCGGCATTATCGATTCTTCAAGGCGGTGCCAGTGGCACCGAGATAATTATCCCAAATGATGTTCTTGCCTGGGGAGGATTCGGAATTGTAGCAGGGCTTACGATGTGGGGGTATAGAGTGATAGCAACGATCGGGAAGAAGATCACCGAACTCACACCGACTAGAGGGTTTGCAGCCGAGTTTGCAGCAGCCTCGGTTGTTCTCTTTGCATCAAAGCTGGCTTTGCCAATCTCAGCAACACATACGTTGGTCGGAGCAGTCATGGGAGTCGGCTTTGCCAGAGGTTTAAATAGTGTTCGAGCCGAGACAGTTCTAGAGATTGTGACATCCTGGGTTGTGACAATTCCAGTTGGTGCTTCCCTTGCGGTCATCTACACATGGATCTTAACCAAACTTCTGTCATTTATTTTATGACAACGTATTCAAGAACATCTAAACAGCTTGATGTATGTGATTAATTCAAATCACCCACCTTTTCTTTTTTCAAAGTATTTTGTGGAATTGTTACGACTTTGTTGAGTTGAAATGATTTCTTCAACTGGAAATCAATAATTATTTTTGATTTGGAGAGGATAAGAACTGCATGCAGATATCCGAGGAATATTTGTCGGAAACATTTGAAAATATCACAGCATTGTATTTTTCTATGTCAATTAGTTTTCTTCTTAGCAATCAAGTGATCAATGGCACAAAACTGAGGACAACAGCAATCAACAGGATGACTAAAAAAGCATTCAATCTGCCAGAAGAACCAAACTAATCTTATCAGGTAGTAATCATGGCATGAAAGCATACAAGGAGGATAAATCTCTTGTTACCGGAAAATATCGAAACAGCTACTTCTCGAAAGGGTCACATCTTAACACTAAAACATCACATAATCAACACAGAAACGGAATGTTTTCGATTTATTTGGGTTAATATACTTTTCCTCACAAGCATCTGAAGAAAATAACAAGCATGTTACCTGAACAGAAGGAAACCTTGAGGTAGAAGTTCATGCAGAAAGTTCTTGTACAGATGTTAAATTAGGCTCCCAACCTGATTGGCGCAACATGGCTGTCCTCGGGAGTGGGGGTACAAAAGGCTTCTTTACCGTTCGAACTTTCCGCTCTGTATGTTTCGACTCTCGCTCCTTTGTAGCTTTCAATGCCTTGGAAGACTTGGCAACATAGAATTCTTTTGCTGAATAAACAGATTCCTCCAAGTTTTCTCCAGATATATCCCAAGTGATCCTTGCATCTGGCATTTCTTCTCTACCTTCAGCAGCTTGTGTACCCTTAAGCTTCTTCTGGTGTCTACGCTTCAGTTTTCGGGCCGTAGAGGATGGGATAATGTAATACTTTTTTCCAGGCAGCAGGCTATCTCCAGGCCATAGAAGGGACTCGTCAGGATTGGTAAAAACTTCAGGACGTACGTGCAATACACATCCCTGGATATTTTTTCATCAGATGGGATACAGGAATGGCATTTTGATACAGTTCCTCTTTCCCACCTGCATGAACAATCCTCACATATATATCCCTTGGTATGGAGAAGTCAACCGACTGGGGAGCTCCTCGCACATCTTCCTTGCTTCCAGAATCCTGGTTCTTGTTATGCTTAAGAAACCCGAAGAATGCAGCGCACATCTTCAACATAGCTGTGGATTAAAAGCCACCTGATCCAGATGTTGCATCATATTCCGTTATATGACAGACCATTCTTTGTTTTAAGGTAGTGTATATTCTTCTGCCTATCCCATTTGGATGCCGTGTTGAATATTTATGGCCGGCTTCTCTAGTTTAATATTCTCCCACAGAAATATTGATGAAACCAAAGGCATTATACAAGCAACAATGACATCTTCTTTTGTTAATTTCCACAAGAATTCCCAAAGCTATCCACATCGATTACAGAACTTCATGCCGATTAACTCTTAGAGCACATTAAACACATCCTTATAGCACTATCATAGTCCCATAAGCCCGATAGTACCTGTCGCTCCAGCTTCTTCACTCTTCCACTAATCCAATTGTTATGAAGAACAAAACAACCCTGCTTCTTGCAGGCTGATTTTACGTCTTCTTTCTCCTATAGGCCCCGGTATGCACTGTTCGGGAAAAGGTTTCTATCCAAGAAAAGAACAGTCAAGTTTGTCTCCGGTTCCACGCATCTATTACCACCCTTGCGAGTGGAACCCCCTTCACCACAGAATGTGTCATAGAAACTCGGCTACTCGGATAGGCCAGAAGTTGCAGTATGCCTGACTACCTTTTCCATCGCAGCAATAGTGGGGGCATAAGCATGGGCAGAGTAAAAGCCAGAGTTCAACCGTCTAGGTAAGTTTATAGGACCTGTAAGGGAACAATAGAAAATATTTGTGGACTACGGAAATAAGCTCATAGAGCCAACTGCGATGGTAATAATAATCTGTTTGGTTGTATTCATCGGACTGCGCCGCGAGAGTGGTAGGACCAAAAAGAGGAAATCAATGGCAAAGGATTTCTAAACCAGCAAGTATACATCCACTTCACTCAAAACTACATTGTATCCGAGCTTCAGAATCGCTAAAACCAATCTGGATTTCACCTTGGTTACTCTCTGAAAGCATTTCGTTCCAAAGTGGCAGTCATTATAGCTAATATTACTTGGAGCTGATGGATCATTGAAGACACAGGAAGGCCCTGGCACAAAACAGAATCCTTCATTCAGATACATATGGTAAAAAGGTCCCGGAAGCTTCGGTGGAGAATGATCTGAAAGAATTCCCAACACATTTCAAGGACTGTAAATCATCATCATTACAGAACTTGGATTTGATGCTATTAGGTCTCAATATTTTTTTGAAAAGGCTATGGTGAAACTAAAGAAGTAAATACCTGCATTATGGAGAGCTGATAGGTCTCATAATCAAGTGCAGAAACCAAAAAGTTAGTAATTCTGAGGTGCCTCAGTCTGCAGATCCAACTCATTAACATGTCCTTATAACTATATCCAGCGAGGCAGCGACCGTGAACACAACTGTCCGATTCTCGTCTGCAATGATAGCAAGAAGTGACTCTAAAGAAAAGGGAAGCTTTAATGTCTTTGTGGGCACTATTCGATCTTTTAAAGAGCAACCTAAAGTTTCGTTCTGCAACTTTATAGTTCCAGCAATGCAAGCCGAAGTTTTCTTTGATCTCCTGCAGTTTGTGAAGCTTCCTTTCCATAAGCTCGAAGGCAATGGATGAAGGAAATCTTCTGTAGTATTAACAAGAAGGTATTGACCATCGCATGTCAAAAGTTACGTCGCAATGGAATAGTTAATTCCATAGAGGGACGACGACTCATATACCACTGCAAGATGGGAATCGCCATCGTATTCCCAACTTCCGTCGGAGCTCTTAACCAAACAGTTAGACAAATGCTGTGAATCGTCCAGGCGATGTTCGAGATAGTCCAACCGGCATCAAACACGAACCTTAATCCACTAGACAAAGCCTCGTTGATTAGGCAGTGGTGTAAACTCCCTTTCCATACAGGAAAGGAGGAAGCACTCCATGATGTAAGGGAACATCCCATTGTTCCATGCTATCACCATTCTATTGTCACAACAATTCCACTGCCAACTTGAGCCAAGTGTGTCCTGCAACTGATGAAATGGACAATGTTGTCAAATGAAGATTCCTCCACTAGATCTCCAGTTTTTATGTGGGTTCTATACGTGCAAACGGTGTAGGAGCAGTGAAAATAGTAATTTTAGGAGCTTCGAGGTGGCTGAAACTTCCACGGATGAACATTTGATTGCTGGAGAGTGGCAACTGCAGAGTAGCATAAAGGGATAGTGCAATAAGGAGAACCCCATACAACCAAACTGACCATAATCCAATCTGCAATGCCTGTATTAACCAAAAGGATGAAAATTGAAATATATAAATAAAGTGAGAGCTTGATTGTATGAAATAAGGAAATGTCAACTCCATCTCAAAAAAGAGCTTATCTTGAAAGAAGCAAATCCAATGGATGGTAGGTGCTTAACGGATTACTTACTTGGGCCGCAGCGGATGAAAAAACATGTTTTTATTAGTGACATATGTTTAACGATTTAATATCAAGGTTTATGAATACTAACATGTAAATTGTTTATGAAATTCATAGAGTAAAATAGCATAAAATGTATTACTGAGCTTGTAAAGTTTAATTATAGATGCTTTGGTTTATAGAATTATAAATTAAGATTCATATTAAAAAGCAGTATCAAGAAGGATTCTAGTATTTCTATATCAAAATATAATATTCAATTATTTTAGATGATATGTGTATTTATAGAACCCTTATTAATATTTAATTAATAAGTCTACTATTATTTTGATTTACACTATATATTATGGAACTCTAGTTTATATAAACGATTTAAATGGTTATGAATTTATCAAATTTCAAGTAGTTGAAAGACAATGAGAAACAAGAATTTTTTTGAATGAGTTAGTCACTTTGCTGGTTTAATGTGACGCCTTAGGCTCATCGTTCATGGTGAGTCGGGTATAGAGTGCTACAAGGTTTGTTTAAGTTCATAGATTAATTTTTTTTAAATAGTTTGAAACGATTATAAAATAGTATTTGTTGAAAATATTTATTAATAGATTTCTTTAATTTTCATATCATTGATTTTATATTATTAGAGATATTTTTTGAATGCACTATATAAATCATTTTTCAACATTGTCATTAAAAATGTAATCTTAACATTTATATAATGCAACTCAAGATTAAAATGAGTAACTAATATCATAAATAGACTGGTTGATTTTAAATATTCATTTGCAACTAAAATATAAATTTACAATTAATATTCATTACAAATTAATGGTAAAATGACTTCTTCGTTATAAATCGATAAATAAAGTGAAAAATATAATTGTTAATATAATATAATTAGATTATAAACTTACTCATACTTTAGGGACTTTTAATGTACTTTCCCCTCATTTTAATCTAAATAGCCAATGCGGAGTAGAATATAAGTCCCGTAACCCTAGCCGCTCTAAGGTATAACCCCCTTCCCCCTCCCAGAGATCCGCACCTATTAGAGTACACAACAATGACAACCCGTTTCAAGAAGAACCGGAAGAAGCGGGGCCACGTGAGCGCTGGTCATGGGCGTATCGGAAAGCACCGCAAGCATCCGGGAGGTCGGGGAAACGCCGGAGGTATGCACCACCACAGGATCCTCTTCGACAAGTACCACCCGGGGTATTTCGGGAAAGTCGGTATGAGATACTTCCACAAGCTCAGGAACAAGTTCTATTGCCCCATCGTGAACATCGACAAGCTCTGGTCTCTCGTCCCACAAGACGTGAAGGCAAAGACCAGCAAGGATTCGGCACCAATGATCGACGTGACCCAGTTTGGATACTTTAAGGTGTTGGGGAAAGGCGTGTTGCCCGAGAATCAACCGATCGTGGTTAAGGCTAAGTTGGTGTCCAAGACTGCCGAGAAGAAGATTAAGGAGGCTGGTGGTGCTGTTGTGCTCACCACCTAGGTTAGGATTTATGCTTTTTGTTTTTGGATCTGAATGATGTTTCTGTTATATTGTTATCTTGGACTTTTGTTTTTAAAATCAGATTCTGAGTTAGTATCAATGGAGAACATTGCATTTGGTAATTGTTTTGCCTGTGGAAATTTAATGCATATGGACACTAGACATGGCTCTCTTGTATGTTGAAGAAATATGTGATAAATTTAGGTGATAAGTTGCAGTCTTTTGAGCCATTCCCAATGTCCCAAGATGAACCCCGTCTTATTAGTAGCCCTTCCCAGTTAAATTTCGTTTTATTGATGTGTAAATTTCCTGCAACCAAATGAGAGGAATATGAAAGCTCTAGTGCATTGGAAGATAAAATCAAAGAAATTAAGTAACAAGAAAAATGGTGCGTTTAAGTTTGCTGATGGAACAAAGATGGTTGTGTCTATTGATGACAGTTCACCGCTCTTGGTTTGAGTGGAGAACTGCAGTTGATGATTAGTAGGTGATGTGAAGGCGATGATCGAGGAAGATTGGAGAGTGTTCTTTTGTCAAGGAAAAATAGTCTCAAAGAGATCTTCTTGCATGTCCGCGGGGTTTCATGAATTGACTCTCTTTGAATGTTTGTGTTTGGCGTTTTCAAGAGTCATGTCCCTGGCTTATGTTCTCCAATAAATTCTTCAAGAATACTTGTAGACATTTAAGTAAATAATATTAGTGAATAGTAGTATACTTTGTAAATGACCTTTTACTCTTGAATCCTTTGTAGGTAGAAAAATTCAGTAAAATCATGATTGTCACGAGTCACTAGATTGAAGTTGTCGGATATAACATCAAAGATATAGTTCATTTCGAAACACCTACGAAGCGTCACTTTTTTAATCATCCAAATACCTAACATTATAAACGTTATAATTTTAGGTGTCTGGGTCGTAACTGTCGTTAGTTTTTTTGTTAAATGACACATGTCATATTCTGGTAATTTTGATTTTTTTAAATTAAAAATATTATTATATTTATAAAAAAACCTTAATTTCTTTAAATTAAAAAAATCAAAATTAAAAAAAGTCATATACCGTTCATGTTTGTATATTATTTGGATTAATAGTGGCATGTCAAATGCCATTTAAAGTTTAAGAAATTTTAATGTATACATTCAACAAAAAAAATCATATACTACATCACATCAAAAATAAGAACTAACCTTCATACTAACCTCCCGATCCGCACCAATTCGAGTATCCAACAATGACAACCCGCTTCAAGAAGAACCACAAGAAGCGCGGGAAGGGAGCGCCGACCATGGCCGTATCAAACAGAACTGCAAGCATGCGGGAGGTCGAGGAAACGTCGAGGTATGCACCACCACAGGATCTTCTTCGACAAGTACCATTATGGGTATTTCAAGAAAGTCGGTATGAGGATCTTCCACAAGCTCAGGAACAAGTTCTACTGCCCCACCGTGAACATCGACAAGCTCTGGTCTTTCGTCCCACAAGACGTGAAAGCAAAGGCCAGCAACGATACAACCCCGATGATCGACGTGACCCAGTTCGGTTACTTTAAGGTGTTGGGGAAAGGTGTCTTGCCCGAGAATCAACCCATTGTTAAGGCTAAGTTGATGTCCAGAACCGCTGAGAAAAAGATTAGGGAGGCTGGTGGTGCGATTGATATTGTTATTGTTATGTGTGGCTTGTAAAATTACAGCCTACAAGTGGAAAAGTCAATAAGTGTTGGTCAAATTTGATAAACATCAAAGTTTCAATTTGTTGCCATTGAAAAAGTCAAGTTTAAATTTGCTACCATAACATTTAATTCAAGTTGAAAAGTGGCTATGATAGGCATCAACAATTGGCAAGTGGTGAACTTATGCATATGGAAAAATTTATATTTGGTCCCTAAACTATTAGTTATTTATAGGTTTAATCCTTAAAGCTCAATTATAAATAAGTCTAAACATCTTCGTTTGAAATCATCCTAAAAAATTCTCTCCCATTTGTTTTCTTTATTCTCCCACTTTGTACTATTTTGAGAATTCTAAGGAATTTCATTTGTTATAATATTTTGTTGATAGTGAAGTTATCATTCGTTGTAGTGCCTGAGGAGTAGACAATATTTTCGTCGAACCTCGTAAATTTGATGTGTTCTCTCCATTATTTACTTTGTATGTTCATTATTGGATTTTTTCCATTGTATTTCAATATTCAATAGTTTGACGGTTTTTCTGCTATGCAATTTAGGTAATTTTAATTTTGACATTTCATATCAATTTTGAAATTACTTTCGTGTGGAAAATAATCCGATTTCCCCAACAATTATCACCGTCTAGTTTAGGATTTTTTCTTTTGATATTGAATCTGAATGACATTTCTGCTACATTATTATCTTAGGCTTAATTTTAAAATGAGATTTTACATTAGGATAGCATTTCCTTCTATTTCATTTCATTTCATTTATGTATATAAATTTTAAGTTTTAGACAATTAGGAACCTTTTAAAGAAAAGTAGAAGAAAGTGGATGCATTAATCTAATAGATAAAATTGTAAATTCAAAGAAAATGTTAGAAAAAAGTACATTTTGTTATAATTATTATTTTGCAACATATTCATCCCCTTGGGGGTCAATGTCACCTCCCCATTTCTTTATCCTCTCCTCGGCTATTGAAGCCTACAATCATATATACAACATTTACAATTTTGTTATACAAATATATATGTTCAATTATTATTATTATTTGCTTACCTCTTTGTTCCAGTTGATCTTGTAAATCATTCCAAATATTACACAAGTTTGCACCACTGTTCCTAATAACATCCCACACCAAATTCCCTGCGAATAAAAGGTTATTATTTTTATTTTTTTATCGATAATATTAGATAAATTGACTTTTTATCAATAAGAAATAACAAGTACCTTAACACCCATTTGAAGCACGAAACCTAATGCAAGACCCAAAGGAACAACTCCAAAGAGATAATAGCATGCAATGTTTACATATACAACAGCAGTTCGCCATCCAGCTCCGATGGCCATTCCTATAGAATAAATGATACATTCAGCTAAGGATTCAAGGATGGGTTGAAGGAGGATTACATGCTTGAAAATTTTAAATTTTCATATAATTTAAATATTTTTTAACTTTTTTCGATAATTTGTTTGTCTCCTAAAATTTTATAAATTTATTATATTATATAATGTGTTTGTTTATGTATAGATGTATTATGAACCTGAGAGGACAGGTTGCACGGTGTTGATGATGATGCAAAGGACCAAGAGTGGAGTGAGCTCCATGACCAGACGTTGAACTATTGAGTCATTTGAGAACATGTAGGGATAATCATTCCTAAATACGACGAGAACAATGGAGATTATGGCACCAATCATAAATGAAGATGTCACCGCCACCATCAATGAGAGTTTCGTCGTTTTTGGATTTCCTACTCCCAGTTCATTTGAAACCCTCACATTGTCACATTTAAGAACATATACAAAATTTTTTATTAGAAATGTAAACTTAATAATTATATTAAAAAATTTCAAAGGTACAACCGTAATACTAACACCCCTCGATTCAACTTGAACAATAATTTTATAAACAAATTAAGATTACTATGCTTATAGGTTCAATATTTACCTTGTAGCTGCATTCATCCCGAAGGATATCATGACGGTCCATCCCACTGCAAAATTCAGCATTTAATGAATAAAAGGAAAAATTGAAATTCCTCCAATAATTAATAAAGAAAAAAGTAATTAAACAAAGAAAGTTAGAATGATTAGTGATAAAGAAATGTCACCAGATAGATAATGCATGATGCATCTACGGATACCACTTCAGCGTCGATTAAGTGTCCAGCGAACATAATTAGTGCCATGAAATACCAAATCTCTAAGCTGCAAATCATTTCTACCAATTATTAAATCCAATTGGAATCCGAGTCACACAATGAGAGAAGAAAGCAATAGTTATATTTTATAATTGAAACCCCCCCCCCCCCACATGTGATGTCTATACTTTTTATTTGCTTTTTCAAAAGAAAATCTAAGAGTAAAAGATTTGCATATAGAGATTACAAATATATTTTTATTTTATTTGTGTATATTTTACTATTCATATATAGAGAAAATTATTTGAAAAATAATAAATTTTGTAATAGTCTAAGATAATTATAAGATAATATCTGGTCAGAGTTTATTTTAATCATTGATAAAATACACAAACCCTTGCTCGAACCCGAAGTCTATAGAGACAACAACATTCCCTTTGTCAACTACTTTAGAAAAAAATTATTCAAACTATAAATTTGGGATCTGTTCAGATTTTATTATTATTATTTTATTTCTTAAAACAAATAAATAAAAAATTATGAAAACTAATTTAGAAAAAAAAATATTCCAACTATGAACCTTAAAAGGACCTTACCATAGCATTACGGCCGATGCTAAAGACAATCTGACAAATCCCCAAAGATGTTGAAATGCCTTCCAAGTAAACCGGTCCAAGCTGGTCCACAAGTACGCTAATTATGAACAAAAAATGAGCCACATCTATGAAAATCCATGACATATTCAAAACAATGGCTGCACCCACCAGTCCCCAGCCCTGCTTCAACATCAGTAACCAGCTGAGCTGAGTACAACGTGCAGAACCAAAGCCACACCGGCTATCACCGCCATCGCCGACATCTTGCTCTGCTCCTGTAAGAACTTCGCCATCGGAAAGTTAAATGAGTAAGTTAACAGTTGTGATATCATCCATATCGAGAACATTCCGGCAACCTTCGATATGGTTTCTGTTTGGCCTATTAGCCTCAAAATCGGAGCGGCGAATATGTATAGTAAGCTTAGGAGCCAAGCCGTTGAGTTGAGGATGACCCATGATCTTTGCATGTATACGCCTTGCATATCGTGCTGCCCTGCTCCGCATGCCTGGCCGCATAGTCGGAGGATAACCGAGACAAAAGGATTGCTTTGCTTGGCGAAGTTGGTGGAAACAGAACAAGGTGAATTGCAATATAATTGTTTGATGGCAATAATGGAGATTACAGCTTCTGCAGAATCCAATTCCAATCTTAGACGTGCAGCTTTTAAAACGAATTCGCCCGTTCCTAAGGCTGTTATTGATCAGCTTTTGAGGGTGATCAAGGAATTGGGTAGTCCTACATTGCAAGTCCCTGCTATTAGATCAGTTGGTTCATTGGCAAGGACTTTCCCAGCTCGGGAGACTCGAGTGATCGGTCCTTTGGTGAAACATCTTGACAATAAGGATCAAGAAGTGGCTGTGGCTGCAATTGCATTGCAGAAGTTTGTATGTCCAGATAATTTCCTCTGTATGGATCATTCCAAGTCGATATGCGAGTTCAACGGTGTTCCACCTTTGATGAGATTGCTTAGATGCGGGGACAGGGCGCATCTGCATGGGCTAGTACTGCTCTGCTACCTCGCTATACACGCGGGTGATAGCAAAGCTTTGGAACAAGCTAGGGTTTTGACTGTCATCGAGGGGGCAGAGGCAGACCGGACGGTGGTTGCGCACCATCCTGAGTTGAAAGAATTGGTGACAAGGGCCATATATCAGCTCAACCTTTATTACAGCGGAGTCCATCCACAGAGGCAAATGTATGGACCTTAAATTTGGTTTAAGACGAATATACACATTTGGGTCAGTTAGGAAAAAAAAAAGAACAGTTTCATCAAAGGTGATAGGTTTATGCGTAACTATTTATACGCTGTTCAAAATACTTAGATGCTTCAATGCTTGTTTAGTGGACATAAAATTGGCTGTGAATATTTCCATTTTTGTTATATGGACATTGAATATAGTTCCTGTACTTGCGATGTTCAAGAGAACATTGGGTGGATAATTAAGGAGAACAAGAATGGAAATATAGAACATTTGACAACTTATGTACTCATATTTTTAACCTCACTAGTTAAAAGGGATTATTATCTCTAAAAATCTCAGGTTCTAGCATCAAAAATTATAAGGGTATTTGAACTTTTATTATCAAATATTTGAGAACCTAGATACTACATTATAACAATTCTAGATTAATAATATAAAAAAACAATTATAACCATCTAGATTAATAATAATAATAATAATAATAATAATAAACATTTGAATTTGGATGAGAAATAGTTCTAATTTCTAAATTTCTAAAGCAGAGTCAAGCCCAAACGATTTGGGCGGCTGGCAAAATTTTGGCAGCAATGGCCACACACAATAATTTTTTGGGTAAACTATATGTTTAGTACTTAAATTATTATTTTTATTCTGTTTTAATACTTAAATTTTATTTTTTAAAACTATATTTAACGTTTAGTTTAGATTTTATTTTGATAACCCATCATTAAAAAGTTAATAAAACTATTGACGTGACACTATATAATAATGTCACATCATCATTGAAAAAATAAAAATATCACGTCAGAAGTTTTATTAAGTTTTTAATGATAGGATATTAAAATGAAACATAAACTAAATGTTAGAGATTATTTTGAAAAAAAATTAAGTTTAGGTACCAAAATAAAATAAAAGTAATAGTTTATATATTAAACATATATTTTATCTAAATTTTTTATTTTTCATTTTGGACGAAGAAAACAAGTGTTTAAAGTAAAATTAATAAAAATGGTAAACTACACAAATGACCACTCAACTATTGCAAAAAATCATTTTGACCATCGATGTTTTAATTTGATCAATCAAACCATCTAACTATTTAAATGCTTCAATCAAGCCACTTGTCGTTGACATTTAACGGAGTACGTGCCATGACAGTTAAAACATTTTGGTATAATTCCACAATTGGTCCCTAATATTTATATATTCTTTCAAATTGGTCTTAAGTTTAATAAATTAAAATAAATTTGACCCATGAATTAGGAGGTACCATGTGCCATTGATAACACCTGACAAGTGTCATCATTTAATTGGATGACTAAATTTATTTTAATTTATTTTTAATTTAATAAAAATAAACCATTGAGCCAAAGTAAACATTTGATATTTTTTTGACAACAAATGATATATATCTTGTTTCTTAGTATGTAAATGATTTACTCAAAATTAATAATATTTTATGTATCTTAAATTTTAAAATTAATTTTTTAACTTATTAAATATAAATATAAATATATATTTTATTTTAATATAAAAATGTATTTTTATATTTTTCATCACTTAAAAATATTTTTTAAATATATTAACTTGAAATATATTTAAATATTTTATTATTAATTTAATATAAAAATATTTTTTATTATTAATTAAATAAAATATTTTATTTTATTTAATTAAAAATATTTTATTTTATTTAAATTAAAAATATATTTTATTTTATTTTAAATTAAAAATATATTTTATTATTATTTTAACTTTTAAAAATATATCAAAATATCTTAACTTCAAAATATATTTAACGTAAGAATAAATGTAATTAAGATATTTTAAAAATATTGTTTAAAAAGTTGAGATAATAAAAAATATTTCTAATTTAAAATAAAAGTAAAAAATATATTTTTATATTGAACTAATAATTTCAAGTTAAGATATTTTTAAAAATATATTTTAAGTGATGATAAAGATAAAATATATATTTTTACATTAAAAATAAAATTTTTTTTAATAAATTAAGACCAAAATAAAATATTTAATAAGTTAAAACAAAAATAAAAGATAATTTTAAAATTTAAAATATATAAATATTATTAGTTTTGAGTAAAACATTTACAATACAATATATACATATTATTTGTTGTCTAATATATATTAAATGATTGCCTTGGCTCAATGGTTTGGTTCTTAGCATTTCAACCTTAAGGCTTGGGTTCAATTCTATATGGCATCTTTTGATTTGTGGGTTAAATTTATTTTAATTTATTAAAGTTAGGATCAAATTAAAAAAAATATAAATAAAAGGGACCAATTGTGTAATTATATCAAAATGTTTTAACTACCATGTCACCTACTCCGCTAAATATTAACGGCATATAACTTGATTAAATCATTTAAATAATTGGATGGTTTAATTGATCAAATTAAAATATCAGTGGTCAAAATGATTTTTGGCCATAGTTGAATGGTCACACATGTCGTTTATCCTAAAAAACATACTTTTATATTTACACGTGTTAATTGTACTGATAAGATATGTTATACTTTTTATGGAAAACTTAAATTTAAACGTAAAAGATGACATTAACTAATAAGAATAATTTCAAACATGACTAAAACCATGAAATTTAATTTTAAAAAATTCCTTATATTTAATGTAAAAGATGCTTTATAACTTATAAGCACATATTTGTATTGTATAAAAAGCCATTTTTCCTTGAAAATAATATAATTTATCTTTTAAGTCTTAATTCATCTAATTAATATTTTGCAATATTTTATATATTGATAATGAAATAAAAAAATGGCAAGTATAATTAGATTGTGCATGTCATGCCAGTGATCTTAATTGTAAAAGAATTGTTATTATTCATTAAGGTCCCGGGTTCGAGCACTAGGTTGCCAGAGGTATGAGTGTTAATGTCAAATTGTAAAAAATTATCTTTAAACAAATATCACCTTATACTTACCTCAAATTATTAAAAAAATACATTATCCATAAAAAGAATTGCCCGTCCAGCTCAGTTGGTAAGAGCACAAGGCTCTTAACCTTGTGGTCGTGGGATCGAGTCCCACGGTGGACAATTCATAATTCTGACAACCTGACGTTAGGGCGACCTACTATCTTACCTCCCCTTACCCCATTACATATGAGAATAGGGTCAGCTATATATTATCCATAAAAAATAATTTTACAAAAAAATGTTAGGATGAACGATGAAGTCATATATCATTTCAAGTAGATTTAAAAAAAATTGACATCATTCAAATATTATTTATGAAATGATTATTTTTTTCACATGACAATCATTTATCTCTGTGAAATTCAATAAAAAGAAGAAAAAAACTCTGGGTTTTTCTTTTAATTCCACTGCCATTGTACATAATAATATCAGTTTTTAATAAAAATTCCGTACATTATAAACTGAGTCTTCTTTTTCAGCAGATGTTAACTCCCATAAATGTCAAGGTCCATCTTAATTTAATATTTAAAGTTTTTTAATTAATTAATAATTAATAATTAAATGTGAAAATTTAATTCCAACGGACAGTGACATTGGTGTCCAAATTTGTTTAAAACCCTAAACTCTACAATTGAATCCTAATTAATATAGTATTAGTTAGGGCTCAGTTATAAACACTACTCAACATTCATGTTTGTTGTGATCATTTTGTAATTTGAAATTTACCTTTACAACCTAATTAATACAACACGAGGGAACAATGAGTAGCATTTTGGTGCAAAGTTTGGGTCCAATTAGGACTTTGACACTGGTTCTAGGTGACGATGGCTAGGGTTTGAAGCGTAAAAGGAAAGGAATTTGGAATTTGGAATTTGGAATTTGAGTGACCCAAATGTGTCACACCATTATTACCTTTAAAAATTAAAAATAAGGGTAACATACATAGATGGTCACCCGACTATAGAATGCGACTTTGTTGAGTTATTTAATTATTAAAAGTTATAAAATGATCTCGTGACTATAGGACGTTATTTTATTGAGTTCCTCGACTATTAGAAGTTACAAAATAGTTACTTGACTATTCATATGTTCCAAACTCATCCTTTTTCGTTAAAAATTGACAACCGTCTGAGCTAGACGTTAACTTGTTGATTAGGATATGATAAAATCATATTTTAATGATGTATATTGGCACCGTCTTTGCTTTCAAGTATTAGCTTGACGACATAATATAAGTAGAGAGTCAGTCCACAAAATACAACTCAAACAATTATGAGATCATATTTTATCATATTTTGGTCAACAAATTAACGTCTAGTTTAGACGACTGCTAATTTTTTAACATAAGATAATTATGGAATAAATAAATAGTCAGACGACCATTTTATAACTTTTAATTATCGGGAACTCAATAAAATAGTATTATATAATCGGAGGACTATCGAAGGACTCAACAATACATCACCCTATACTCGAGGCATCATTCGTTCATTTTACCCTAAACATAATGAATTCAGATATAATTTGCATTAAGTTACGGTGGATATCATGTGATGTATACACTGAGATTTCAACAATCTTGCTGTGTAGATGGCATGTGTCAGACTCAAAGCTGAGCATAAAAAAGACAAGATATAAAAGTAATCCATGATTATTAATTTCTCCTTTGTTTTTGCATGTACAACTTTCTACTCTCTTAATTCTCAGCACATTCTTACATGATTTACCTCCTTGTCCCCTTCAATGGTACAACTGAGAAACGGACTCAAGAAGAACGTATTACAAAAAAGAAAGCTCTTTTTTTATAAAAAAAAATTTAAGACATTGAACGAAAAAATAGCCCTCCCACATCCCATGTGGGTCTCCAATAATACCACAAGTATTTGACTTATTGGGTGTAGTTTAATGAAATAATATAATCCAAAAGTTGAAACATTATTGCTTCAATATAAAAGCTCCGATCCCAATAAACCTTTGTTTAAGTTTACTAAAAAAAATATTTTTTCGTACTATTAATAATCAACCAATTTAGTATGCATATAAGATATTTGAATTTTAACAATGTGAATGAAGTAAATTAAATTAGAATAGTCGTTCTCTTAATAGATCTCTGTAGTACTCGATCTAGATTAATCAATCAATAAATTAAATATAAATAGTTAAAAAATAAAATACCGAATTAGATTAAACTCGTTTGTCAAGTTTTTAAATATAGATGCACATTCTTTGGTTTTAGGCAAATGAATTAACCCTTTCTTTTAAATAACATTCCACTTTGATTATCCTAATTCAAAAGTATATTAGTAATAGTTAGTAGTGTAGAGTTAGTTTGAGAAATAGAGATGCATATGCAAGTGACATTGTGAGTTATTGGTGTTGGAAGAGAGTAAATTAAGGTCCATTCAAACCCTTGCAGAGGATTCTAAAACATGTCTTACCACATGTGTTTTGTCCTTGTATTGAGTTGTATCACAAAAAGTGAAGAGCTTTACAAAGAAACTTCCCACTTTCATAAGAGTTGGAAGTGGGTGATGGGGGCAGTGAAAAGCCAAGTTTAAAGTCTAAAAGAAGGGATAATGGCAGAGATTCCTCACAGTGGGTCTTGTGTGCTATGTGTTTTGTGGGGATTTGTCTCGGTCAATCAGCTGTTATATTCAAGCATAAGTTACAAAATAATCATCCGATTATTCATATGTTTTAAACTCATCAATCTTGGTTGAGGAGTTATTTTATGATGACCTTTAATCTTTGTGTCAAATCTAAGATGCTGATAGGATAGTACGTGGAATAAATATGATTCTTTAATAATAGATTTGACACTTGTATAATCATATTTATTTAAAATCTTATAAAAATAATTGACAAGTAGAATGATATGAAATCTCGAAATCTATAATAGATGGAGAATATCTTTCATAGACTTCTTTTTGTTTCTAAAACTTTGATTAATGAAAGAATAATTAGCGGAAGAGGTTCAAAGAAGATCCGAAGGAAATATAACCGACACTTCCTTTTTTTTACCTACTTTTGGCATAAGTTGTAGAACCATTGCTAGTGCTAGATGTTGACTTGCATGTGTCTCTCCCCATGAACATGAATAGTTTCAAACAAAAACAACAGCAGATCAAATAAACTGGAAAAAAAAATACTAAACCCAGACAATGCTAAATAGACTTAACACAAGCTGGAAAAAAATAGTTAATTACTACTACAAATATAGAAATTCAGAAGATAAAAGAAAGGAAAGCTAAAAACAAACTCCACAAAGAAGTTAAATTTCGTCATGTTATTCATCAAAGAATTCCATCTGTACGTAAACTTCTATAGGTCACTACTCACTACCAATAAAATACCCAAAAATAGAAGAAAAATGAAAAGCCCGTTACAAGAGAGGTAGAGAGCATTTATGCAATTTGTTTAACTCTTTAAACATGGCGTATGAAGAAGGTGTCCAAATCCGGTGGAGTGAAGAACTCTCTAGCACTTCCGAAATTAAACTTCAAAGAAGGTTTTCTCTTCATCGGAGGCGGTGGACATGTCAACGACGTCGGGATTCCGGCTTCCCGTCCAGTTGGAGTGGTGGAAGTGGAACATGATTCTTGGTCTTCTTCTTTATCAGTAATGGTGGTTTCAGTATCTTTGTGATGATCAACTGGATTAGTGTAAATAGACTTCAATGGAGCTCGTAAAGAGATGCCAGCAATGACCCATTTTTTGGCATCGGATTCCAACACTTCACCTCCATCCACTTGAGGCTTCCCTGGAACCCCCATATCCACCAAAAACTCCAAGCTTTAAGATGAGTATAAATATTATAAGGGAAAAGATGGAACTTTTCCTTTTGAGGAGAGAATCAATAGGAAAGAAGATGGGAGGAATTGGCATAAATAAACGAAAAAGGAAGGAGATTGAAAGGTTGAATGTTTGTGTTTATACCGATCGGGGGCGGGGGGGGGGGGGGAGAGAAATGAAAAAGGGAACCCGATGAAACTCGTGGCATGACTCGGTTCAATAAATAAAAGAAGTGACCCGACGGCAAAAACAACTACTACTATAATTTGCCCGTGAAAAAAGCTGACCGCGGGCAGCATTCGCGGGAGAAAGAGATTTTATTAGAGAAAATAACTTGAGTGAGAAAATATCTTATAATATACGATTTTAATAAATTTTTTTTTGGATTTGCAAAAATAACCAACGAATTCGTAACACGAACTTCAATTTCGTAACACAATTTCTAAATTCGCAACTCGAATTTAAAATTCGCAACACATAATTTAGAATTTGCAACACAGAAGTCGAATTCACAAATTGAATTTGACAATTTCACAACACGAATTGTTTTCGTAACTCAATTTTTAAATTCACAACACGAGTTTCCTTTTTCGCAACAAGATTTTCTAATTCGTAACGCGAGTTTCATTTTCGCAACAGGAATTTCATTTTCGTAACTCGATTTTTGAATTCGCAACACAACTTTTAATTTCGCAACACAAATGTTTTGGGTATATAAACTTCGCTGCAGCAGCAACTCATAATCTAAACCCCTGAATCGTAACTCAGTTCATCTCTATCTCTCACTCTCTCCTGCGACATCCCCATATCTGACGACATCCTTCCCCATCTCTAATTTTTTACATAATTTTATTTCTATATAATTTTTCAATGATTTCTCTCTCAAATTATCAAGTATCAACTTAATAAAGGTATGTTTTTCTCTAAGTTAGTGATTATATCTAGTTTATAGCTCGTTTGTTTAGTAAATTACTTTATTTACAATTTGTAGAATGAAATCATCTAATATTGATCATGTTTGGATAGATTTGTGTTATGGAGGGTCATGAGAAAATGTTAATGTGTTTTACAATATATGTCTTTACCTATGAATCTTCAACTAAAGCTGTCATTAAAAAAGTTAACTTATGAAAATCTAATGTTACGTGTTTCAAAGAAATTGAGTTTAGAGCCTCTAAGTGGATTTAGGTTATCTTATCAGAGAAAGGGTAAAGTTTATTTGTTAACCGACAATGAAGATGTTGAACGATTCATTGCTTACATTAGTGTTTCGCAAGATGATGTTACATTGTATGTTGTTGAACCTAGAAGTAGAGAAATTGGGTCAGTAACGAGTAGTAATCAACTAAGTTCTTCAGCTCAGTTTATGGTGCTCACAATGTACAACGTTGTTATCAACCTCAAAATTTCATGGTTCCACCACAATTTCATCACCAAGAAAATTTTGTTTCACCACATTTCCAATACCAAACACAATCTCAAAATCCACAACTTTTCCCTAATCCAAATCCCAATCAATTTACAGACTCAAATTTCGGTTTTCGTATTGACCAGTTAGACGATGATGAGCCAACAATAAAAATGTGAGTACTAGTCAGTATTCGAAATTTGATCTTGGTCAATACTCGGATTTTGATGATGTTTCAGATCAGATTTGGGGTAAAAGTAAAGAAGAAGAAATAGACCCTGCTTATTACAATAATAATTTTGATATTGGTCAATACCCGGATTTTGATGATGAAACAGCCGTTGCCAGGAAAAAGTTGTTGATGATAATGAGGAGGAAGTTACAGTTGTCAATGAACATGTTAAACATCCATTCTGTAATTCATATAACCCTGAAGAAGTCCCCGAAAAGAAGAAGAAGAAGAAAGAGCCACGGAATATAACTGGAACATGTCAGAATTACTTCCGATACCGAAGAAGAATTGGTAAAATACAGTTGATTGTTACACAAAAGTTTTTCGTATCAAGAAAGATGATTGTTTTGATATAAATGAAGACTTGAAGATAGCTTTGTATACGAAATGTGTGGAAGATGGCTATCAACTGAAAGTTAACAAATCAAGCAAAGATCGTTTCAAAACAAAGTGTAGGATTGATAAAAACTGTATGTGGCGTATGATTGCAAAGAGGATAAAAGATTGTGAAATGTTTCAAGTTAGGACTTTTATTGATAAACATACATGTTCAAGAACCCAAGTTTTTCCTCACCATAGACAACAAACAAAAAGGTGTTGGGTGGTTTTCTGGCTGAGTTGATGTTTTTGAATGGCAGGGTATATCGGGGTCATGAAATTATGACTGATATGAATGTCGGTTCAAGATTAGTATCTCATATTCTAAAGCTTGGAGAGTCAAATGTTATGCCTTGGAATTGTTGAGGGGGTCGCCAGAAGCATCGTTTGCCCAACTGTCGGTTTATTGTTACAATTTAAAGCTAAAAATCCTGGGTCGGTAACTCATATCAAAACAGATAAGATGGACGTTTCGAGTTATTTTTTATCGCCATTGGTGCTGCGGTTAGTAAATCAATATAATTTTGTTAACTCATTTTTGTTAGTTACATGCAATTCACATTTAAATGATTATATTTTTTGTGTATATTATTTTGTAGATTCGTTCATTTATTACTTGCATGCGCCCAGTTATTATAGTTGACGGAGCACATTTGAAAGGTCGATACCTTGGAACAAACTTACTAGCAGTAGTCATAGATGCTAACAATGGGATACTGTCAATAACTTACGGGGTTGGCAAATCTGAAACCTCTGATTCATGGACATGGTTTATGGGGCATCTTAGGGATTGCATAGGTCATATTAGCAATCTGAAAATCATATCCGATAGGGCAAACTCAATTGATAACGTTATTAGAAGGTGTTTCCCAGATGCTTTTCATGGACTTTGTGGTGTTCATTTGTACATAAATCTAAAATCAATGTCTGTTGGTATAAAAAATCACAAATGGAACATACTGGAAGGCTGTAAAAGCTTATCGGGAAGTGAATTTTAATAAGCATATAAATTGTTTAAAACGTGTTTTGCCTAATGTGCTCAAACACTAGAATATGTCGGGTTTGAAAGATGATTAATAGTACATAAACTTGGAGCAAGATATGGTTTCATGACGTCTAATAGTGCAGAATCAATCAACGCTCTAAGTCGTCATTCCCGAAAATTACCCATTACTATATTAATGGAGTTTTTTCGAGCCTCTATTCAACAGTGAATACTATAAGAAAAGAAACCATGCAGGTATTATTTCTTTAAATTCGTAACTTATCATATTTAATAGATTTTACTAAGTATTATTTATTTAAAATTACAGGAACATTGGAACGTCGTGTTACACCATGAACTGAAAAAAAAAGATAACGAAACGTGTTGTGAAGTTAACGTCATGTTCAAACACTTTGTTTGAAGTCTTGGATAATAACTTAAATGGGCTTGTCGATCTAAATGCAAAGACGTGTAGTTGTAAGAAATGGCAAACAATTGGTTATCCGTGTGTCCATGTTATAAAAGTTGCTCTTCATCTAAACCAAGATGATTCAAGCGTATACGCTATGGATTGCTACACTACAGAAGTATATCGACAGACTTATGCCAAGATTGTCTACCCTATTCCACATCCTTCTGAGTGGGACATACCAGATGACTTACAAACAATTTTGCCATCAGTCATGGACAGAAGGCTACCTGGCCGACCAAAAAATCACGATCGTATACCGTCTAAGGGTGAAGAGAAGAAGATATCGACATGTAGTCGGTGTAAGGAAAGTGGTCATACAAGGTTGACATATGGATCACTAGTGCCATCACAATCATCTTTTCCTCCACCAAAATATGGATTTCAAAGCTCATATGGTGCCAAGTAAAGGGAAATCAAAATCAAAATCCCAATCACCTTCACCTTTTGGGACTATTAACTTAGGTGATTTTTAGATGCAAACGTTCTATTATGTATTCATGATTGTATAACCCTTATATATTAATAACTTGAGTTTGAACATTGCTATGATCTGTTCAGTTGTTATCACTTATCAGGATTGATGTATGTTATCTTTTTGAAGGTGTTTGCCTTGAATTGAAACTAGAAAAAAAGATGGTTATTGTGAACATCTCCAGACGCTTGAACTTTAGTTTTGTACAATAACTAAACAAGTATGATTAGTAGGAAAATTTGCCTAGTTCAAATTCGCAACTTTAAAATTAAATTCGCAACTCAAAAATCGAATAACAATAGGGAGCTACAAACATTTCAATATTGAGGGGTCAGAAAACTAATCAATATACCACAGTCAACACTACCATAGAATCACTTCATCAGTTCACTGTGTACAACATAATTTAGGTTGACAATCATTAAAAAGAAGATTTCATGCTAAATTATGCAACTTGCAAATGGATATGATCAGCCAATGAACTGAGATAAAGTTTAATTATTTAACATGTATCAACAAATATTTTCATGTTCATCAACTCTCTGACACGAGGGTCATGAAAAATGAGAATCCCTTAAAATTATAACATCTGAAGGATTAACCTGCAGAAACGTTGTGGCCATGAGAATTTCTACACATCCAAAACCAACAAATATGAGCTGAAATTATAATTGAATTCTAGGTACTTAATTAAGGGTTGTGGGAAGATATGTCTACCATTATAAGTTTGAGTAGATAAAAAGGTTCATTATTCAAAGAAAAAAATAAGTTCATGCGACCATCATGTTTTCTCTCAGAATTCTTATCCAAACATTTTCAAACTACTTTTGATCAATATTTCATTTAAAACAAAGAGTAGCAGGTTAACAATCCTTGTTCAAACTTACCAATAACAAAGGTTGTTTATGCACACTTTCAGTACCCAGTGAGGTTGTAAGCATCTCAATATTTCTCGGCTCCAAACCTTCATATGGAACCTGGAAAAGTGCACCCCAGACGAGGCCTCTATCATATCCACAACTGATTTAGAGTCCATATGATAAAGCCTATGCATAAAACTCACAAGTAAGAAAACAAATATATGGGATCATAAAAGAAGTTGAACAAACAAAAGATAAAAAAATAAAATCATGTACATTCTAATCACAGTTAAGAGTCATATAGATAATCGAAAGGAAATTCTCACATGGTCATACTGTCGCATATCAACCACTGGATGCAGTAGGGAACGTCTCGCATATATCTCTCTAGCTATAAAATGCCGAAACCACAACCCTATTGCACCTCTATCTCTATCTCTCGGAGGTAGAAATTGATTGCCTCATCTCATCATACGTTCCAAGCACATGCATACAAATGGACCACAATCCCCTCTGGCTATTGACGCTTGTTGTGGCGCTGTCTCGTCTTTCATCATTGTAACTTTTAACTTATTCGGCTTTCGTTTCCTGAATTAGTCCAATAAACAATCGCATCCAAGTATTTAGACAAAAGATCGATCCATCCCCTACAAATAATATATTTCAAAGCAGACAATGATATGTAATTTAGCATACTGTCATATACTATCGTCTTCAGTGAGGGGAGCTGAAGCTCGACGAGAAACCAATGACGACGTTCCATAACAGGGATAAACACCTGCAATATTAAATAAATAATACTTCAACTGCGCACAACAAATAAATTTGATGAACACCTTTAAATATGCAAAAATAAATACTAACCTTATTGACCTCCCACCACTCAGGATAAAGGATAGCTTTGTCATTACCTAACGCATATGAAGCGTCTCTTGATCCTGCAAGTGAGCTGAGTGAAAAGACGAAGACATAATAGTCCATCGCGTCTTTTTGAGTTTCTTCAATTTCCTTAAAATCAGAAGTCGTGTTACCATGCATCAATATGTTGTTTTATAAAAAAATACATATATTAGTGAATTTAATAAATTAAAAAAATAATCAAAATCAATATAAAAAGAATATAATACTTACCCCCCATTCGAAATAGCCATTATCTTCAACCCTAATATTACACCCCACCAAGACCGCTCAAGAAACAAATATGTATGGTCGATTTTGTATATGTCGGTGAAGCACCCCTTGCTCCGCTCATGTAGATAAAAATCAACTGCGGTCTTAGCCCAAACGATATTATCCTTAACTGTTCCGGTAGTGTGCATATCTCGTGCTGAGGAATGATACTAGCCGGTAACTGATACGAAAGCCATATCGGATCCAATATACCGGGCACAAGAGGGGGTTTACTAATATGTCTACATAGTATAGAATGTGGATCTGAACGATGAGGGGTGGATCCTGAACGATGGGAGGGGCCTCTTGAACGATGAGAGGTGAATCCTGAACAATTGGAGGTAGATCCTGAACAATGGGAAGTGGATCCTGAACAATGGTAGGTGGATCAGCTTCTTCTTACACAGTCTTGGAACTATTGGGGTGAAAAGAGACGTAATGACATGTCCATGATGTCTGATGCATGAACCCTGTTGTGCAAGAAAAACGGTATCCATATATCTGAAGGTAGATGGTTGGTCTAGCTCGGAATTATAGTGGTCATCATGTAACATATTATCATCGGGCCTCTAAAAATAAATTAATACATAAATCAGTAAATAAATAAATAATGTAAAAAAAGGTTATTTACATTTTTAGTATAATATTTCTTATAAAATTAAACAAACTTACCTCATCGCGTAGAATACGCACCTCATTCTGTAACGATGAAACAATCTCACGTAGAGCACATACCTCATCACGTAAATCAGCTACCTCACCATGTAAAGCACTATTGTTATCACATAAAGCAGCTACCTCACCACGTAATGCACCATTATCATCACGTAAAGCACCGACCTCATCACGTAAAACACTAACTCATCCCGTGGAGGTGGAGAACGAGTAGATAAATATCGTGGCATCTTTTTCGGTCGCCTATCATGAGGTGATGGCGGAGAAGAGGCTCGATAATGTGATGGAATAGGTGATAGATCTCGGTGTCGAGGTGTAGAGTTGGCTAGAGGTGATGGATCTCTGTGTCGAGGTGTAGAATCTCTCGATGAGGTGATGGATCTCAGAGTCGAAGTGGAGAATCGACTCGATGAGGTGATAGATCTCGGTGTCGAAGTGGAGAATCGACTCGATGAGGTGATGGATCTCAGTGTCGAAGTGGAGGATCGACTCGATGAAAAAATAGGGGTGTTCATCATCCGTCCCATAATAAAAATGCATACTAGCTTGCCACCAATCAGTGGCAACCTCAGCCTATGTGGGTATCAATGTCTGTAATGGATAGTTTGCCTCCTAACAATATAAAAGCCCAAATAAAGTCAAACGCCTACTAGTAATAAATTGTTTATATATGGTAGTATTTGTGTTTACTTACATCATCGATCGTCATATATGGTAGTATCTCATCCCAATCCAACTGTCGGATCCTCATCCAAGTAATAGCCCTAGAATATCATTTGAATTCTTGATGGCATAAGTACGCATGCTGGGAAATGCCTCAAATATACAAATCTACAATATAATACACAAACATTAATTTTTAGTAATTGTTAAATAATTAATTTTGGAAACATTATATATTTCTTACCTTAAATGCCCAAATAAAGCTACCAAAGTGTATTTGGAACCATGACTATGCAAACTACGACGGTCCTCAAAGGCAGACGACAATTTTTTCCAAGTAGCTTCCATATATATGAACCCCACGGAAACATGTTCCATGCATCTAGGTCATCTATCAATAATATTAAATCCATACAAATAGGTTGTCTACCCTGTTTTGCTAAAAAATCGGCATACAAAAGTAACAAAAGGCACATCCATCCGAGTAAAACAATCTTTAAGAAGTAATCTGCTCAAATCGTCGACGTGTAAAGTGACCATCACCTTTGCCAGGTCAGGAAAAACCCGAAATAACAATGATGGGGTGGCGATATGACTAGTGTACGAACCTAATTCATCGTGTCGTTTAAAACGTAGAATAGTGACCAAGCAAAACTCCTCCCGCCCAAAACGAGTATACGCCGGCGGAAAATGAAACCATATCTCCTCATCGCCACGTGGTATCCCCTCGGGTAGATCGTTAGTCATGGTCTGTAGAAACAAATGAGCAACAAAACATCTCCACTTGGATGTTGTACTTTCAGCCATGGTCGAAACAAGTTTTCTCAAACAAATTTCTTTGGACAGGTGTAAGTGTCGACGCAATTGTAGAGGCTTAATTTATTCCTTAAAGTCAATACAACAGAAAAAAATTCCTAACTAAAACAATAAAAATTCTAAGTTAGATATACTAATAATATACCAAAAACTACAAATTATACACAATAAACAAACATGATATTAATCTTCAAACTAGCCCGGTATTCACTCAAGTCATTATTCTATCATAGTTCACAAAATGCATCAGATAACATTCTAAAAGTAAGCATATATAAACAAAAAGGACAACATATAGGTTTAGTGCAAGTTCAAGGTCTCTGCTGTGCGTAGAAGAAGTGCTTAAATTTTCAAGAAAATCAAATTCGCAACTCGAAAATCGAATTCGCAATTCGAAACTTAAATTCGCAACACGAAAACCGCAACTCGAAAATGAAATTCGCAACTCGAATTTTGAATTCGCAACTCGAATTCAAAAAACAAAGGGCGATGACATAATGTAAGTCTATTTACCAAATACTAACTTCACAGGGTTAATCTATTTACCAAAAAACAAAGGGCGATGGCATTACTAAGCAATCTAAGTGAAATGGTTAATCTATCTATGAAATTATCTAATTATCTATGAAAATGATTTTCCATTTGTGGCCGTGAATGGTTGTGAGAGGGTGGCTGTGAGATATGGAGATAAAGGAGGGTCGCCATAGATGGGGACGGATGTCGCTGGAGATGGGGACAAATGTCGTCAGAGAGAGTGAGAGATGGAGATGGGACAGAGTTACGATTTAGGGTTTAGGTTATGAGTTGCGATTTAGGGGAATATACCCAAAACATTTGTGTTGCGAAATTAAAAACTAATTTGCGAATTTTAAATTCGCGTTGCAAATTCTAAATTAGAGTTGCGAAAACGAAATTCATGTTGAGAAATTAAAACTCGCTTTGCGAATTATAAAATCGAGTTGCGAAAATGAAACTCGTGTTGCGAATTTAAATATCGATTTGCTAAAAAGAAATTCGTGTTGCGAAATTGTCAAATTCGAGTTGGGAATTCGACTTCTATGTGCGAATTCCAAATTCTGTGTTACGAATTCGAAAACTGTGTTGCGAAATTGACTTTCGTGTTGCGAATTCGAAATTGAATTGCGAATTAATTGGTTATTTTTACAAATCTAAAAAAAATGGTTAAAATCGTATATAATAAGACATTTTGATCACTCAAATTTTCTCTTGTTATTATTGTTATAAAATTGGGATTTAGGGATTCACTTGGATTTTGGCGCCAACTTTTTGGGTGGAAGGTCATATGCTAATGCTGGACAATGGGATCACCGATGGTTTTCCTTTTATTAAATTTTTCAAAAGGTTTACTGTAAATTTCCCAAGCCTCTGACCATATGTTAGCAGATTGAAAGAGGAAAAAAAAAGCATGATTCAGATTTTTGAAAACCCAACATAATTAAGTAGTAGAGATTCCATGAGAGATATCATTAAAGAACAAAAAGAAGAGAGAAGCAGGGGATATAATGTTGAGTAGGATGAAGTTTTACAGCTCAAGGAAAAGGAGAAACATGAGTCAAGTTTTGGACATGTATGATAGAGAGTGGCCTGCAACAGACAATTAATATATAAACACTAACCACACTTGGAAACATGTTTCACATCCTTGATTGATTCCACTTATCTTCATATTCATCCATGAACTCATCGTTGAATTTCTTGAAGCTCGACATGATCGCAGGCATGTCTTCCTCCGCAGGTAAAATTGTCGTCCTCAAGTGGAAGACCCTGTCAGAAAACAGCAAAACATTTGAGCATTTTGTAGATCCATGCAAATCATCGAACGTGTGCGGAAGGAAAGTTCTCAAGTTTAAAAGAAGTTTTCCGAACAGGAAAGATGATTGTTAGAATTTCGAAGCAATGAATAAATGGAGAAGTACCCTTCTTTTTGTCCAAATCCGGAACCAGGGACGGTGGAGATGCCTGTTGCTTCCAACAACTTGAGACAATAGAAAACATCTGGTACCTTTCCTGCCTTCTTGGCAGCTTCTATAGCTTTAGAAGGTAAGCGTATTTGAGGAAAAGAATACATGGCGCCTGTAGGATCACCGAGAAGAAAGTACTGATGAACAATAGCAGAAAACAAAAGATTTCGAGTGGCCAGTTGATAACAACAACGATTTACCTTCAGTGAAATTACAAACCACATTCTTGCAGCTGTTAAATCCATCAGTCATTATCCTTGCTCTTCTTCTCAATGATTGAAGGATTCCTTGGCTGCGAGTTTTGATGTTAGTTTAATCGGTGCTAGGCAATCATTTAGCACGGCCATTAGAACACTGGGAAAATTCACCCTCCATTTATATTAAACCAGAAAGAAAAACGTGCATTAACCAAGTCTTTGGGAACTTTGTGTTAGTAGGCATACCTTTCCCTAATAAATTGCTCATATGAAATATCCCCAGGTTTGAGAGGGTTGACCATCAATCCCATCTGTAAAGAGAAGAGGAAGCTTACTTATCTTACGGTTAAGAGAACCCCAACCGAAACTTAAAAGTGCTCGAAGTCACAGAAAATATAATGACATTTAACTCACAAATATCTGAGCAGGAACATTAGGACTGAGTGCTATTGATGCAATCTTGTAGATCTCATCAACTGTCTGTAATATAAGATCAGGAAAGCAAAATTGAACTGAGCATCCATTCGAGGATCCGTATTATGTTCAATCCCCAAAAGAAGGAAGTCTATGATTGTGAATATGAAAGCAGTTTAGTTGTTTTTCCGTTTAGCATCATCAAAGTTGGGAAATTACTATACCTTTCTAACATGGAAATTCAACAGCAATAGTGCTAAAATTATTTTACAATGCATCATGTATCGACATTTGGGAGAAATTCTTGTCTCCCTCCGAAAAACACTCATTAAAGCAAATTAAAACGACACAAACCTGTGGAGGAAGGTTGGTCATCTCAAAGTATCCTCCTCGCTGCCCACATTCACCCCAATATCCTTTAGACACGGTGTGGAAAGAAATGAGCTGCACTTCCTTGCTTATGGGAGGCCCCATATCCATCAAAACCTTCCATAGGTAAAAAGGAAAAAAATATGCAATTAAAAACAATTAACACTCCATGAGAAACATTCAGACGATAGAATCTACCTTTCTAGCACTGATAAAGGGACGCTCGTCCTGGTATATATTCTGTTGATAAACCTCATCTCCAAGTAACACTAAGTTTTCTTGGTAACAGAAGTTTATTATTTCTCTTAAATTAGCTTCACTGAGACACTGACCGGTAGGGTTCCCGGGGTTAATAATAACCATTGCTCTCACCTGGTCATATACAGCATAAAAAAGATTCATTTACCAAAAATAATAATAGGCTCTGTAGTATTAAATCCAAAGAGAATTGAAGTGTAGCAAACAACTTTTAAGAACCAAGTGGAAAAAATAAATTTGGGAAGTAAAAACCGTTTGGTGCCAAGCCAAAATGAATCAGATTTTTTAAGTCCCAACATGCAGAACGGGATTATTTAGTCAAACAAATTATATATGCTTATGGTTCTTAAGCAGGCCATTTTTTTTCCACCATTTTATCCAATTGTGATGTTTGTGTAGTTTCAGACCACGTTTCTGGAATTCTTTTGCAAACAAGCAAAACAAATATACTGACAGTTAGCCCTTTGAAGCGAGCCTGTGCAACTGATTCACGAAGATTGTTAACATCTAACCCCCAGTTTGCAGTCTCTTCCAGGTAGTACGGAACAAGTGAACCACCAAGGAGCGATATTGTTGCCGAGTAAAGTGGATACTGTGGGACAGGAACCAAAATCTGGCAGAGCAAAATTTTTAATATAATACAATATATCATCAGAATTATGCAGTGGGAACATAGTAAATCTCTAAATTATAATTTATAAGGCAGAATAAATCAAACTATGACAATAAGAAAAGATGATACAGGTGATGAAATTATGTTTTAAAAAATGGATGAGGAAGATATGTTACCCCATCCCCTTCGCCACGGATAATACAATTCAAGATTTGCATCACACCTTTGCTGGCACCATCAGTGAGAAATATGAGTTCTGGGTCACTGCAATTGGAAAAATAAGCAAACAACCAATAAGCTTACAACTTTGGCACCAAAAATGAAAATTTGTTTGTAAGAAAGGTGATATTGTGAGTGATAGCATCTAGATTATCACCTAGGATACCCATCACGCCTTTCAATGAACTCAGCTACCTCCTTCCTGACTCCTGGAATACCTCTTGAATCACTGTATGCACCTAGATAGATAGTGAAGGAACAAATGTATTTATATTGTAATTCATATTTGAATTACTTCAAATTCTGAAAACCCTCGGGAGTGGTTCATAGATAAGCTATGATAAGATACTTGTAAAGTAATAACTAAAATATAGAAATAATTCAAATAAACGACAATATAAAAATTGCCAATTGTCGTGCCGTCTATGGTAGAATGTTGGACTCTAAGTTTCAGTGAATAGGAATCAAAACCTTAGCAATCTCAAATATAAAAAATATGGCAAGATAAAAATTCAGTTAGTAGATTATTTAACAAGTACATATACTGAAGGAAACAAAGCGCAAACGGGAGGTATTTCAGGTGGCTTAGCAACAATTTTCGTATAAATAGCTCAACGATATACCTAGACCACCAGAAGTCATTGAAAGATAATGTTTCGCTCTTGCAATTGCATCTGCGGGAAATAGAAGTCCTACATTAGGATCATCTAGCAGAAATGGAGCTTGGCACAGAGCAACCACCTGCAGTAGCACAGATTTGTTGATTCAATACGTGCTATTAACTACTGAATGAGCAAAACAAAGAATCACTCCAACAGGTGAAAACCGAGATACATATAACTTATATATATACCTGGCGAGGGAAAGTCAGTGGTTTTTGTCCAAGAGCATGAGGGTTGCCAACATTTGTGAAAATAATCTGTAGACATAACAACAAAGCCATGAAATTAACATGCACACAACAGTTTTGCAATCTAACAGCACCATCTTTGTAGAGCTCAGTTCACTAATCACTTTCAAAATCATCAAGCCATACTTCTAAAAACAAAAACAAAAAAAATTCTAAAATTCTGAAAAAAGTTCTTCCTGAGAAGGATTAAATACATGGAAAGGCACTCTCCCAGCGCATACGGGACTCTCGTAAACTATAGAGATTTCATATACTGCATATAGGTTCATGCAGACACTTCAGTTATGTCCGTTAACAAGAATCCGACCCTTAAGAAAAGTTGAGACAAAAGATGAATATAGGAATCAACTCATCAAGGCAGGCTTTTAACTAGGAAACAAGAAATCAAATCACTGAATTCTCTGAAGACGCCAAATAACTTGGCTCAAAAGTGTGATTATACTACTTATGATAATCTCTCAAAAATATCTAAGAACAATAAGGTTTTCAAAAGCCCTGACAAAGAATATGTAGGAAACAGGAATTTACACATTTTCTGTTGATTACAGAAGCTAAAATCACCAACATATAAACTTCTGTGCCAACTAGTTGTTCAGCATAAGAAGCTGAACTGGATGGTCAAATAAAATGAGGAGAAAGCAAAGAAAAACATACCTTCTTCCCTTCCTTCTGAAGCTCAGAAGCTCGAAGATACAACTCGCCTCGGACTGCATATTGAACTTTCTTCACGTTTTCATTCAGTGTTTCATAGTCTAATGCCTTAAGGCTCATGATACCCAACTTCCTTCCTTAAACTTATCAATCTATGGACTCAGTACTCAAACCTGTAAAAAAAAACCTTAAACCATAAGTTGAATTTAACATCTTGATTTTTCTATATAAGAAATTAGACCGTTTTCCAGTTCCAAACTGAGAATAAAAATCGCCAAAACAATTTGAACGTTACAATATAATCACTATAAAATCGCTCTAATCCTAAAACTTAAAACCGACCCTAAAGCACATCTGACACGAAAAAACATGCATTAACGAAAAGGGTTAAAAGGAATTAAAGAGAAGTTCTTCCGATCAAGCAATTATCAATCAATAAGGAGCCAACCCAGAATAATTGAAAATCCAGGCAGAGATGCATTTAGAAAATGAAAAAGCAAAAGTCAATAAGTCAATGATCGCTATCAACACAATCACGTTGTGAAAACATAAATCCCAGAAACCGCAAAGGAATAAAGTAAGATTCAGAACCCGAACTCGATTAATCATAAATCATCAGAAAATCCAAACAGGTTACCCTAAAACTCAAGCAGAAACTGCAGAAACGAAAAGACCTGTTTAAACGAGACTAACCCGTGGGGATGAGTGGCGTGGGGAACTTATATCCCGATGGGTAGTTGGTTAAGTTGCAAGTGTCAATAGACTTTTCATGTCAGGGAAAAAGGCAGTATTTTATAAAGATGTGGCAGTGTGTCAATGAGTTAAAAATGGCAGTGGCAGCAGCAGAGCCACTGAAAGTTGGATTATTTCAAAAAATGTGGGAAAGATCAGAAAACAAAAAGGATAAAATTGATCGAGGAAGTGTGGTGTAGCTTCAAACTGCGAGTTATTGGTAGAGATTGTACCCAAGTACAAGTGTGGTTTATATTTGATCTTTGTAATGGCAATGGTAGCAGGGTAGTTTGGTCAACATTGATGAATTATTCATTGTTGTTTCTTTTATAGAATTAGGGCAAAACTTCCACGATAATGCAATTGGAAACTTTATTTCTCAAAATAATGTTGTAATGCGATTATTTCCCCCAAATGGGATGATTGACACAAGAAACATGCATCTCTCGACATATTCAACAGATTGTCGGTGTCTTAAGCAATTTTGCATTTGTTTGAGGGATGTCTCGACGTCTTTAACACAAGTTCCATGTAAAATAAGATCTCTCGGCGTCTTTGCATGCAAACTGACAATTTCTATGCTCGTTGGATATCTAGGCGTCTTTCATGTTTTGGCCTAGAGTTTGCAGCAAAACCAGGAAACATAATCAACATACATTTTATAAAAGCAAATCAATAATGCCAAAGCAAAATTTATAAAAGCGTACATTTTATAAATTTTTGCAAAAGCATTGGGGTCGGGATCATCATTAAACAAAAGCATAAATTTTATAAAAGAAAGGTGTTGTTAGAAGGAAATTTATAAAAACATACATTTTATAAAGCAACACTTAACAAAACAAAAACATTGCCAAAGAAAGGTGACGGGATCATCATAAATTTTATAAAAGCGAATCAATAATGCACGTAATAATGCAAAATAAAATTTTGCATGGGGTCGGGGATGGAAATCACTCCATGATATGCGCATGTAAAGCAATAATGATGTTGTTAATGCACCGAATATGATTTATAAATAAGAGTACAGTGGTGTCTGGGAGAGTGAGTGTGAGTTCGGGGAGAAGTTAGAAGAGAATATAAGAAAAGCTTACATGTTCGAGAGTTATTTCGAAAAAAAAGGAGAAAAAAGTTCGAACAAAGGAAGAAATAAATAGAAATTAATTAGACAATTTGTTTTATTTTAAAGAATGAACTATATTTATGATTTTGTTATTGAGTAATAACTCGAGTATGTTCCTGGTTGGTGGTTATTAATTATCCATTAACATCTCGGTAGGTTGGTGGTTTATGGTTGGTAGGTACGAGTATGATTTAGTAATGATTTGATATTTAATGATTTAGTAATGATATGATAGTAATGATTTGTAACACCCCTAACCCGTATCCGACCCGAATATGAGTCCGAGGTGTCACATTGACTTTTCTTACTTTTGCCACTTAAAGAAAAACAAGGAAATTTTAAACTTTCATTAAAACAAAATACGTTAATTTACATAAAAGAGATTACGAAATACAAAATCGACCAGAGCATTCGTAATTAACGACTTATTACATGCCAACGTTCTATACACAACCCAAAATACCTACTTTGCCAATTACTTCTGATCTGATCTTTTAGTAGTGATGCTATTCTTGCCACTTCTAGTACTGCTCTTCTTGTTTCCTGGTACCTACGTGTAAATCACTTACACGCTAAGTCATAGACTTAGTGAGGCAATAAATAAACATGTAGCTATAGATTCATGAATATGCATTCTTACCATTTGATCATAACATTTCAATATGCATGTATATATTTCACTATAACCGATATAATCATGTCATGTACATATGAAACTCATTTTCTTATATCACTTTCACCTTATTTATCTTTCAATTGCCCATGTACATTATTGAGAATAGAGGTATTTGAGTACATTGAGGTTGTGCACTAATGTTGTCACCACAGCTCAATAAATTCCCTCATGGGGCACCGAACATTTGTTCAGTATTTGTCCCGAAGGACCACTATGTCCCGAAGGACCACTATATATGTCCTGAAGGATCACTGGATACGTCACGAAGGACCATTAGATACGTCCCGAAGGACTAATATACCCTCGACTCTTGGCATGCCAACTATACCTATAGCTCTCGTATCATATAACATGGGCTTTAATATGAATACATTTCTCATTTCATATCTCTTTCATCACTTTTCATATAAACACATAATCTTTTCCAGTATTTCACATACCTGGATTATATTCTCTGGAAATGATATTCGTTCATTCCATGCCATATGAACATATAATGAATTATGCATGCAATTACTATTACAATAGTATATGTATGCATATACATGGGTATGGAATCATTAATTCAACTATCAGAGATAGACTTATCACAAGTCTTGTCTCTATACACTTTAACTATAAAATGCACTCACCTTAGCCTTGCTTTGATTCGATTCTAATCCTTCGATTGTTCTGGAATAAGATTACGCTCTAAATCTACATAGTAATACATTGATACTTATCAACATACGAATTGATATATTTCAAACTATAAATCCTTAGGCTAAAAGAAAGCTATTTTCAACTCTTATTAAAGGTATGCATCGATGCACTACACCATGTATCGATGCATCCCTTGACGGGTGCATCGATGCACTACCCATGCATCGGTGCATAAATCATATTCGATGTTTGTATTTTAAGCAGGTGAATCAATGCACTCCTTATGCATCGATGCATTAATGGCATTCGATGTTCATTTAATTTAAATGAGTGCATCGATGCACTCCTTATGCATCGATGCATCTTCAACAAATTCTGGGATTTTCTCTTGATGCATCGGTACACTTTGAATGTGCACCGATGCACTCTGCCAGAATTCATATCTTGAACCCGAAAACTTATCCATTTCAGCTTAAATCTTTCATGTTTCATCCCCTTTTATATTCTTAACTCCAGTACACATACTTAAACCAATCTATACTCATTTATTTCATCTTAAACCTCAGAATTCTATCATCCTTGTGAAATCCAAGAATTATACCAACTTTGCAACATGATTTAATTCCACTCCTAACACTTAATATGTCTTAACTAGATTGATGTCAAGTCAAATTTAACTTCCGATTCTATATATGAACTCTATTCCAAAATTTCATTCAAGAACCTCTAATCTTTAATCTCTTCTAACTCCATCATCCTTTGATTTTAAGATAACCTAAGCTTTCCTTAAACTTAGTTATCATCTAATAATCAAAACCCTATCTTAAATTTAACAAGAAACTCAATAATCAGAAAACTCACCTTTGTTTTGCTTTACACATACAAGGAAGAAAGAAGAAGAAGAGAACTCTAGAAGCCTTTGGTGTTCTCTCCTTTTCAACCCATGTGTACTCATATATCTTTCTTTAACTAATTTTCCTTGCAAATGACTCTTTTGCCCTTCTATTCTTTCTTCTTTTTAATTCAATCCTAAACAAACAAATAAATCTTTATACTATTCAATCATTCTATTTTAATTACCAAAATCTAAAACTTTCCAATTTAGTCACTAACCCGGTATTGAGGATGTTACAACTCTTCCCCCCTAAAAAAATTTATCCTCGAATTTTCATTATGCAAAGAGGTAGGGGTACTTCATCCTCATGTCCTCTTCACGTTCCCATGTTGCTTCCTCTACTTTGTGATTTCTCCACAAGACTTTAACCAATGGAATAGTCTTGTTCCTTAGTTGCTTGACTTTGTGAGCTAATATTTTTACAGGTTCTTCCTCATAAGTCAAATATGGTCGAACCTCGATCACTTCGGTAGTCATAATATGGGATGGATCATATCGGTATTTCCTAAGCATTGAGACATGAAAGACATTGTGTATCCTTTCCATTTCAGGTGGCAAGACTAGGTGATATGTTATTGGTCCTACCCTCTTAGTAATCTCGTAAGGTCCAATGAACTGAGGACTCAACTTTTCTTTACGTCCAAACCTCAATACTTTCTTCCACGGAGACACTTTTAAGAACACTTTATCTCTGACTTGAAATTCAATCTCTTTCCTTTTTAAATCAGCATACGATTTCTGTCTATCAGCTGCAGCTTTCAGATTATTCTAAATTACTTGAACTTTTTCTTCCTTATCCTGAATCAATTCAGGACCTATAACTTCTCGATCTTTAAGTTCATACCAGTTCAAGGGCGTACGACATATTCTCCTGTAAAGAGCTTCATAGGGAGTCATTTTGATGCTCGACTGATAACTATTGTTGTATGCAAATTCAGCAAATGGTAAATACTTTTCCCATGATCCTTTGAATTCGATGACACAAGCTCTTAGCATATCCTCCAGAATTTGTATAGTTCTTTCAGATTGTCCATCGGTCTGAGGATGAAACGCTGTACTAAAGTTCAACCAAGTTCCCAATGCTCCATGTAATAACTTCCAAAACCGCGATGTGAATCTAGGATCCCGATCTGAAACTATGGAAATAGGTAAACCATGCAAACGTATAATCTCTCTGATATACATCTCAGCATACTTATCCATGGAGAAATCAGTTTGCACCGGAATAAAATGGGTTGACTTAGTCAATCTATCTACAATCACCCAAATTGAATCCCTTTTGTTCAGAGTTAAAGGTAACCCCGACACAAAATCCATTGTTATTTTCTTCCATTTCCACTGAGGAATTGATACCGATTGTAATAGTCCCGACGAAACCTGATGCTCAGCTTTGATTTGTTGACAAGTCATACACTTTGATACAAATACCGTAATGTCTTTCTTCATTCCAGGCCACCAATATCGACTCTTGAGGTCCATATACATTTTTTTCCTCCTGGGTGCATCGTTAATGGACTACAATGAGCTTCTATTAATAAATCATTCCTTAACTCATCATCATTTGAAATCACCAATCTCCCTTGATAATACAAGTTCCCATCAGACTTGATCCCAAAATCCGTACACTCTCCATTCTTTATCTGTTGTATCTTCTTTGAACACTTTTCATCTTTAGCTTGCAATTCTTTAATTCAATCTAGCCATGATGGTTTGATAGTCAGTTCTGCACATATTGCACCATCTCCACTTAACGATAATCTAGCATCAAGATCTCGCAAAGTTGCAAACGTCTTTCGACTCAAAGCATCAACTACCACATATGCCTTTCCGGGATGAAAATCAATCACAACATCATAATCCTTAAGAAATTCCACCCATCTTCTCTTTCTTAAATTCAACTCTTTATGAGTCATCAAATACTTTAAACTCTTGTGATCTGCATACAAGTAGCACTTTTCACCATACAAGTAGTGACGCCAGATCTTAAGAGCGAACACTACTGTCGCCATCTCCAGATCGTGTGTAGGATAATTCTTTTCATGTGGTTTTAGTTGCCTTGAAGCATAGGCCACTACTTTGCCCTCTTACATTAACACGTATCCAAAACCGTTATGAGACGCATCACTGTACACTACAAAATTCTTGCCAGACTCGGGTTGAATCAACACTGGGGATTCTGTCAAAATCTTCTTTAACCTTGCAAAACTCTCTTGACATTCGTGGGTCCACAAAAATTTTATCTCCTTTCTCAACAGCTTAGTTAGGGGTAATGCTATTATGGAAAAGTTTTTAATAAACCTTCGATAATAACCAGCTAATCCCAGAAAACTTCTAACTTTCGATACATTCTTTGGAACTTCCCATTCCAGAATAGCTTTAATCTTTTGAGGATCCACACGAACTCCTTCTGCAGAAATTACATGTCCAAGGAATGTCACTTCACTCAACCAGAATTCACATTTAGAAAGTTTAGCATAAAGCTTCTCATCTCGTAAAATCTGCAAGACAATTTTCAAATGCGAACTATGCTCCTCCTCTGACTTTGAATATATTAAATTATCATCAATGAAAACCACCACGAACTAATCCAAATAGGGTTAGAATATCATGTTCATTAAATCCATGAAAGCAACTGGTGCATTCGTAACTCCAAACGGCATCACGATAAACTCATAATGACCATACCTCGTTCTAAACGCCATCTTTGGAATATCTTTCTTTTGAATCTTCAATTGGTGATAACCCGAACGTAAATCAATTTTCGAGAATACTGAAACTCCCTTCAATTGATCAAATAAGTCGTCGATTCGAGGAAGTGGATATTTATTCTTAATAGTCACCTTATTGAGTTACCTGTATTCAATGTAGAGACGCTCCCCATGGTGAGACACTCGATCTGATAAAACCTTTATCCAACAATTCTTGTAATTGAATCTTTAATTATTGCAAATCTTTTGGAGCCATTCTGTATGGTGCCATTGCAATAGGTGAAGTTCTAGACATTATTTCAATCTGGAATTCCACTTCTCTATCTGGAGGCAAACCCGGTAACTCTGCAGGAAAAACGTCCGAAAACTCTCTGACTATAGGAATTTCGTTAATCCCTTTCTCCTTGGTTCTAACATCCAATACATTATCAATGAACCCTTGACATCCCTGTAACATTAAGTTCTTCGCTGATATTACTAAAATTACATTTGCCAATGGATTCCATCCTTCACTAAATACAACCACATCTACCCCTTCTAGACTTCTCAGCGTTACTTTTTTCATTCTACAATCGACATTAGCGTAATAACGATATAACCAATCCATTCGAAATATCACTTCAAATTCGTTGAAAGGTAATTCCATCAGATTAGCAGGGAATTCAATTCCCTGAATCCGTATGGGACACCCTCGGCTCACCAAATTTACACGAGCACTGTGCCCTAATGGATTCGTCACTATCACCTCATTGCTAGTAGTTTCTAACGGAATGTTCAATTCTGTCACTAATTACCAGTAATGTATGAATATGTAGACCTCGTATCAATCAATACCATAACATGTTTATCAAATAATAGAAAGGTACCTATTACAATCTATGGGTCATCCCGATCCTCATTGGTCTTGAGATTATACACTCGAGCCGTGGAGTGTATCTCTTATTGAGCAGAAGACTCTGACTGATTTCTTCCTCTGCCTCTACCTCTTTCCCTTTGGCCTGCCGAAATAGACCTCTCTAGTAGTACAGAATCATCGGCTACACTGGGACAATCCCGAACAAAATGTCTGGTCTCCCCACATCTAAAACAAGCTCCAAAAATTCTCCTACATATCCCTGAATGATTCTTTCCACAATGTGGGCATTGTCTGACTTAACTCTGAATAGCTCTCCCAGCTCCAGATCCCACTGAGTGAGTTTGTCTACCTTCATCGGATTCGATCCTCTAGCGGAGGATCAAACTGACTCTGATCTCCCTTGGGGTCAAGAATCAGCATCTTTGCCCCTTTTTTATGGTGCAAAACTTGAAGAAGCACCCGTTCTTTTGACTGTCTGAGCTCTTGAATTTTCAAATCTCTCATTCTGAGCTCTTTCCAAAGCTTTGACACGATTGACTACCTCTTAAAATGAGGATAGATTCAATACAATCAGTATTTCCTTGAATCGAGGACGTAACCCCTCTACGAACCATTCACAAGCATCATTCTCTGTAGGAACAAGCTCGGCAGCAAAGCGGCACAACTTATTGAATTCACACTCATACTCATATACAGTATGATTCACTGCTTCAAATTCATGAACTCCTGTTTCATCTGTCGAACAAATTGATCTCCGATGTACTTATGCTTGAATTCTTCTTAAAACAATGACCAAGTTACTTGATTACTAGACATCCTCAAGGTAACATTAGTCCACCAAATCCTTGTTTGCCCTCTTAACAAGAAAATTACTCCATCTAGCTTCTCAGCATCGGAACAATGAAGTCCCTCAAGCATGACTTTCACATCATTAAGCCAAAGGTCCACAGTAACAGGACCTTCCTCAGCTTCCCCTCTAAACTCTGGAGATCCTAAACCCTTCAACTCTTTCACAACATTCATTTTGGGAGTTGAAGTAGTAGGAGGTTGGAAACGCGTCAATACCACGTCTAACATTCTAAAGAATACATCTTGTTCATTCACAGGTACTCCAGAGGGTGTCTGTTCTTCACTCTGCTTGACCAGGGCAGGTGAATTGCTACTTTCAGTGGGTCTATCATCTCCCGCTTTATTTCTAGAACTACCATGTCCGGACATATATTAAGACACAATAATATCATTCTATTAGCAAAACAACATACTTACTATTCTATCAGATCAGAAGTTTTCACTAATTTGTTGGCATGTATACATCATAAGACACTCTAGACTTCAGTTTATGCCAGAATCGACTAAACCGTAGCTCTGATACCATTAAATGTAACACCTTAACCCGTATCCGACCCGAATATGAGTCCGAGGTGTCACATTGACTTTTCTTACCTTTGCCACTTAAAGAAAAACAGTGAAATTTTAAACTTTCATTAAAACAAAATACGTTAATTTACATAAAAGAGATATGAAATACAAAATCGACCAGAGCATTCGTAATTAACGACTTATTACATGC